TGAAAGCCCCTCGACCTTGGGCTTCAGCTCTGCCTTTTGCTCTGGCCCACTGAAGCTAGAGGCATGTCTTCACTTAGGCAGCTACTGGCTGCTGACGTTGACAAGCCCAAGGTTGACAAAATGGCACAGTCTTGATGTTACCACACCACACAGCAGGCCATTGATTCAAGTCCACTGAAAGTCCCAAGTTCAGCAGAGAATGGCAGGCTGCTGAACAACGACACAGCTACATGCAGGATTCAAACATGCCATAAGCTAGAGACCATTCCCAAAGCTGTTTCTTATATATGGGAAGCAGATCACATACCCAAAGGCAGCTACCCAGCTGCTCACAGTAGATTCCACCATGGAGTTGATTACCAGTCTCATCATGGGGAATACTACATCCAGCTGCCCAGCCACTCAACCAGGCCCAGCCAAGTTGACACACAAACTTAACAACCACAACCATAAATATTTCAGTCTGGACAGTTGATGATCCTTGTTATGCCATCGAATAATATTTGATGCAACTATTATCTACTATAGGAGCTCTGGTGGTGTAGTGCCTAAGACATTTGACTTCTAACCAGAAGGCTGGTGGTTCAAACCTACCAGACACTCCACAGAAGGAAGGTTGGGAAATCTACTTCCGTAGTAATACCGCCTAGGAAACCCAAGGAGGGGTTGCTATGAGTCAGATCCGACTTGATGGCAGTGAGTATTACCTACAATAGCTTGAAAAGAAGACCATGTTCCTATGGAGTCCGTAGCTAGAGAAGAAATGACAAGAAAGCCAGAATATTTGTTGTATTGACTGTTCTTGTTGCTTTTAGCAACATTTTATAAGACATAGATGAACCCAAGAAAAAACTATTTCTCAAGCAGATATACAAAAGAAAAGAAAATGTCCAGTAAATTAAGACCTAATAAGGTTGAAAGGACCAACTGCTTCTATACTTATAAGTAATAGATGTAAGATTGTTGTTTCTTGGAGCCTTTCTCAAAGGCTTCTCATTAACAAACACCCCACCACCAAAAAAAAAAAAAAAAAAAAAAAAAAACAAAAACTGGATTTAAAAAAAAAAAAAAAAAAAAGGGACCCAGCCCTGAGGTGAAACCCAGACTATGGATGTTTTCCTTACTACATCTATTGTTTTAAATGGCTTGACAGTAACTGGCATTAAAATAAAAAGCAAGGAAATAAAGCAAGTTTAATAACTATAGCCATAAGAGAACAGTGCATATATTACAGATATATGGAACTGACTAGAAGCAAAAAGAACAGAAGCCTATCACCTTTGAAGGGAAGTAAGTTTTGCTGAACCATAAGTTTAGCTGGCACAAACTTATGATATTTCAAACTTAAGACAGTTCCTAAGGAGGGCATAGTCTTATAACACTTCAAAGTAGCCATGCAAGATAGTGGGCAAAGAATAACTCTGAGAGTCAAGGGCCTCAGAAGAGAACAAAGACTCCTTCCAAGACAGCAGAACCAAAGTAGACAAATGGGCCAACCAAGATAATCACACATACCCCCAACCAGGGCAAGGAACCTTTGTAATCCCTCCTTAAAAAGAACCATCATTTGCTAGGGCTCAGTTACACTGTACATCCCCAAACTCCATTTTTATGAATGGGAGCCTTTATTTTATGTATCCTTCTCCTATTGTACCTTTATTGGTGCTGGGGATGGTTGATAACTTGACTTTTAGTTTAGAGGTCTGAGTATGAGAAGCCAATTCTGTACCTAATAGAAAGGACTGTATATCAGTGACAGATTCTCGATTTTTTAATTGGATAACTCTGATTGTCTTCCTTGGAAAGTGAGTACAATTAATGTGTGAGAAGATAATTGGTTGGTCAAAGATGTGAAGAGTGGTAGAAGCTGCTAGTTAGAGCTCCCATCCTTCCACAGTAATAGAATTGCAGCCATGTATCTAGCTGCCTGGCTGGACTATATTTCCAAGCTTCCTTATAATTAGAACATAACCAAGTTCTCAACAGTGCCATGTGAGAAGTGATGTATACACTTCCAGATCTGGGACTTTAGACCTTCATGTTCTCTTCTCCCAGGCTACCATTTGGAACTGAGATAGCAACCCTGCTTTGACAACACAGATATGACAGTGTCCTAGGAAATGGCCAAACAACTTGGAAGGAAGCATAGTCCCTAAATGACTTCAAGGAGAAAAGCTAATCTACCAATCTGGACTGTTCACATTGAGGCTTATCCCCTGAGGGAAAAAATATATACTTCATTGTTCTTTAAGGCACCTAAGTGTTAGGTCTTCCTATAGTAGTCTTACTGTCAATAGAACATAGCTGATATCAGAAATCCACTTCCTCATACACCCTGGACCTGTGAAGATGTCTTTGGGAAACTATCTGCATGTGTGTTTGATACGCCAATGTGTACATTAAAAAATGTTGGGTTAAAGACAAACCTTGAGGAGTTTAAGCCTACACAGGGTAAGAAGTAGTCAGGGCTGATTCTAACACTGTTTTACATAAACACTTCTGCTTTGCCTCTGTGCCCTGTGAAATCCTGCAGGACCAGCAATGGCAGCACTGATTTCAGGTGCCACTGTACTGCCACCAAGGTTCTCCAGGCTGCTACGATGCCAACCTAAGAAGATGTTAAAATGAACTTTCTGGGCTCAAAAGTATGGTCAAGAACAATAAATGCAAGTAACTACACATTCTACAAGGAAATATCAGACCATCCTATAAACTTGGTAACAGGGGTCCACAAATAAGTATTGTGACCTTTAGCATATCACCTACTATATGAAAGAAGATGGATATTGATGAGGCACGCAGAGAAATTTGCTGGAGAGCTGTGCATTTCCTGTTCCTTCTCACTTGCCCCATTGTAAGCCACATGAGGAAGGACTCCCGGATTCTAAGGTTTTGAGCCAGAACCAGACTCAAGCTGGAGAGAGCATAGATATGTTAAACTGAATGAGAAATTGAAGTTTTGATTTAGATTGAACTGTATTTTTTAATACCTGTAAACATGATTGTTAATTTCTTTATGATCAGAATAGTTTTCAGATCTACTTTAGTTATCCACAGGAGAAGAGGAGTCAACAAACCATGTTTGAAAGACAACAGGAAGAAAATAACAAGTTGCTTTCTCTGCTTGTAATCAGCAAGTACAGTTTATTATATACGTGGAATGGACCAAATGGGGGTGGCAATGTTTGCCTGCCTATTACACTTCCACCAATAGCCAAGAATTATGTGGAATTGCCCATGGCACTCATTTGCAACAACAGCATCATGTGGCAACAATAGCAAGAACAAGAAATTAAATGGATTTTTCTAGTTTTTCTTTCTTCGAGGTCAGAGCAATTAGAACCAAGCCTTTAAATTGAGTATGCACTAGAGGTTCTGGACATACCCTGGAAGGGGGAACCCTGAGGAAGGTTAAAAGATATCCCAGAACAATGGGTATTCTAAAACAGTTAATGTGAATAATCAATGAGACGCTTCACTAAGATACCATGTGGCCCTGAACTGCCCAACTTCAGGCTCCTTTTATATGAGACGTAAACTTACATCTTATTTGCCAAATCCTATTTCTAAGTTAAAAGCTCCTTCCAATAAATAAGAAAAAGATAAACAAGTCCAAAAAATGGGTGGAGAGCAGACAATTCACAAAAGGAAGACAAAGAAATGGTCAATAAACATATGAAAGTATACTTTGCTAGTTATAATCCCAGAATTGTAATTATGAAAAAAGGGATATGATTTTTTCACTAAAACCAAACAAAACAAAACAAAAAAAAAAACCAAACTCACTGCTGTCAAGTCAGATCCGACTCATAGTGACTCATCCTTGGGTTTCTGAGGTGGTATCACTATGGAAGTAGATTGCCCAGCCTTCCTTCCAAGGAGTGACTGGCGGGTTTGAACCACCAGCCTTCTGGTAGCAGTCAAATGCTTTAGGCACTACACCATGAATTATATCTGGTTGGAAAGGATCTAGAGAAAAAGGAATTCTTATTCAAGGGTGATGGGAGTATAATCTGAAAAAGTCTTTTGGGAGAACAGTTTGGAAATAGCTATGAAAATTCAAATGCATTTTTATGTGTGTGTTTGTGCGCATACGTGTATGTAATGTACAGAAAAAGGTCTGGAAGAGTACATAACAAGCTTAACAGTATTTCTATTTCTCAGAAGAGACCAAAACCAAAAACTAAACTCACTGACGTGGAGTCGATTCCAACTCGTAGCAACCCCCTTTGGGTTTCCGAGGCAGTAAATCTTTATGGAAGTAAAGCCTAGTTTTCCTTCTGTGGAGTGGCTGGTGGGTTTGAACCTCCAGCTTTCTGGTTAGCAGTCAAATGCCTTAGGCATTATGCCACCAGAGCTCCTTAAGAGAGTGGAGGTATAATTTTTATAACTATGTATCATTTTTGTAATTAAAATTTTTAAATGGAAAAATTAGTTACACTAACTTTTTAAAGGCTAAGTAGGCACTATACAATATTTAAATTGTTTTATTTCCCTTTAAAACAGATGTGTTGGTTGTTCACCATGCATTGTCTCCTCAAATTTGAGTAAATTTTAGCAATCTGAATTGTCTTTTAATACACTTGGCTGTTTACTATTTCACAGCCCAATGAAAAAGGGGCTTTCTTACTTGGTAGATAAGTACGGGGTGGTGTTTTATATCCCTGGAAGGTACTGAATAAAGCTTATTTTTATCATTTAAAGATAAAAAAAATCTTAAGGAAAGTATTTTAAAATAAAGAGAGATTTGCATTTTTAATAAAAATAATGAATTCTATTATTAGCTTTTATCTTTTCATTTTGGCAGAGACTCTCTACAATTTTTAAATGTATGCCAAGGTGACGGCCTTCTGACAACACATAGTGATGTACTCGCCTATGTTTTCAGAGCAGCATTCATTAAAAATAACAGCAAGTCTTCCAAGAACTCCTTTTGTTTTTTTAATCTCAAAACCTTAAGTGAAAAGCAGGTCATTTAAAATATAAGCAGATATTCTTACTTGGTCCTCAAAAGATAGAGCCTGAGCAACATCTCTTGGAAATCCATCAATAACAATACCCTCTTCATCGGGTATTTGCATCAACTTCTGTTTTATTTCTGTAATTGTTGTTTCCTTTTACAAAGAGAAACGATAAAAAAAAAAAAAAACACAGTTAAACTTAGTTCACTTAGCACTGGTATAAAAACCTTTGAAGAACAGTAGCAAATTAAGACAGCAATACCTGTGGGGCCAATTCTCCAGTTGTAATTATTTTGGCGATAAGACTCCATTTCCTATTGCTGCTGGTACTGTGGATCTTCTTTCTTAGTAATTCTCCCACTGAAATGTACTGGAATCCATAACGTTCTGCGATTTTCAAACTTTGAGTACCTTTTCCACTTCCTGGGCCACCTATTATTTAAAACAGGCAAAATTATGACCTTCTGATACCATAAGAAAAAATAAAATCTTTTTTATGCAACTTCTACCTTCATCTTGGAGGCAATGGATGGTACAGGCTGTGTACTTGGCTGCTAACCAATGGTTGGAAGTTCCAGTACACCCAGTTGTTGTTGTTGTCGTTATGTGCCATGGAGTTGGACCCGACTCATAGCGACCCCTCCTTGGGTTTCTGAGGCTGTATCACTGTGGAAGTAGATTGCCCAACCCTCCTTCCAGGGAGTGGCTGGTGGGTTTGAACCGCCAGCCTTCTGGTTAGCAGTCAAGTGCCTTAGGCACTAAGCTACCGCACCTCATAAATAAGTCTTGGCAATCTACTTCTGAAAAATCAGTCATTGAATATGCTATGGAGCACAGTTCTACACTGACATACATGGGGTCAATATGAGTTAGATTCAACTTGATGGTACTGGTACCTTGTCTTGAGACATAGATTCCGGGCCACCAGTACCAAGTGGGTAACTGTTCCATTTGTGGGATTCTCAGTCTACCTGAGAGTCCTTGGGTAATACAATGGTTAAAGAGCTTAGCTATGAACCAAAAGGCACTCAAACCATCCAGACACCTGGGAAGAAAAGTCTGGCAATCTACTTCTGAAAAATCAGCCATAGAAATACCCACGGGCACTGTTCTACTTTGACACACATGGGGTCACCATGAGTCAGAGTTGACTCAATGGCAACTGATTTTTGCTGATCCATGATCCACCTCCGCATATGGGACAAATATAGACTTAGCCAAGGAAAGGGTAGAGAACTATCTTGACCAACTGTATTACATGAAAGACATTTTTCCTATATGCATTTTAGTAAGTAACACTTTTTTGAAATTTCAAAAAAGCAGTTGAAAGAAATCTTTACTATTTTTTCTAGGTAAAATCTATTATTTATTCCATGATAAAAAAAAAAAAAAGTGGAATGCAAAAGAAAATCATTGAAAATCAGAAATGTGTCGTATGTCAACGAAGAGTTAATGTGCAATTTGGCGAAAAATAACCATAACTTTTAAACCAAAGGCACATCAATATCAACATTGCTTATTTAAAGCTCTTGCCTTACTTCCTTGAAATTCAAAGGAGTTTTACACCATGAAAATGCAGAGCAAATTGAAGTGGTCTTTAAGGTAAAACAATTTTGCAGAACTCCTGATAACTTTGAGTTTATGATTCAATAGTATTGAATAATAAACATTTTGCAACTTAACTAATTACTAAAAAAAATCCATACTCACTGCCATTGAGTTGATTCCGACTCATAGCAACCCCATTAGGTTTCTGAGGCAATAAATCTTTTTGGAAGGAGATTGACCAATCTCCCTTCCACAGAGCAGCTAGTGGATTTGAACCACCAACCTTCTGATTTGCAGTCAAATACCTTAGGCACTGCACCACCAGAGGTCCTTATTGTTGTTGTTATTATCCTGCCTTTCAGTAGGGCTCTGACTCATGGTGATCCCAGGCATAATGGAATAAAACACTATCCAGTTCTGGGCCACTTTCATGATCAGTTGCCGACAGAAGCATTGTGATTTATAGGGTTTTCATTGGATTTTCAGAAGTAAATTGCCAAGACATTCTTCCCACTCTGTCTTAATCTGGTTTCTCCACTAAAACCTACTTAGCATCACAGCAACAAGCAAGCTTTCACTGACAGGTGGGTGGTGGCTTGTATATGAGGTGAATTAGCCAGGAATCACTAGGTCTCTTGCATGGAAGGCAAGAATTCTACCAATGAACCACCAATGCCTCAATCATGGGTAACTGCCTTTATTTATTTATTTATTTTTTAAAAAGCATAAATAGTTTTAAAAAAAAAAAAAAAAGAGTTCCCATAAACAGTAAAATAATCATAAAATATTGATACATATAACTCAGAATTTATTTCCAAATCAGATTAGATTAATTTTCTAGCTACACTTATGTTTCATAACAATCTAGACTAATTGGAATTTAGAGACAGAATAAATTTCAAAACCAAGCGCATAGTAACTAGCCCGTGTATAGTTAGGTATGTGATGGCAATATTTTCAAGTTCCTAAGCATAAGTTCTCGGAAGGAAGGTTGGGCAATCCTACTTCCGTAGTGATACTGCCTCGGAAACCCAAAGAGGGGTCGCTATGAGTCGGGGCCGACTCGACGGCACATAACAACAACAACAACAAGCATAAGTTATTGAATGTAAGCAAAACATTTTAAAAAGTCAATGAGGTATGAAATGGTTTGGTTATCTTCACTGACAAGTAATTAAAATTTATTATTAAGCAATACTAAAAATTCAATAGTAAAATGAGTTGATGTTCTCACTACTGTTGTTGTTGTTTTGGCCCTGACTCATAGTGACCCCTCCTTGGGTTTCCAAGGCAGTATCACTACAGAAGTAGGATTGCCTAACCTTCCTTCCGAGGAGTGGTTGGTGGGTTTGAACCGCCAGCCTTCTGGTTAGCAGTCAAGTGCCTTAGGCACTGTGCTACCAGAGCTCCTACTCTTACTACTACTTGAACATAACATTGTGTCTTGTGTTTTGAAGTCATTTTATATATAATTGTATAATAAGTATTTTATTTTTTGTTACAAATATAACTAACAGAGAAATGAATTATTTATTCAGATAGTAACCAAAGTTTTTCTCCTCCTGATCTTGCACTCCCCTCTTTGCTTTTCCTTCTTCCTTCTCCCCTCCCTTTTTCTCCTCCTGGTGAAAAGAGTTCTGAATGGATAGACTTGATTGGACTAGGCTTACTTCCTCTCTAAAATTCTGAATGTGAAGGATTCAAAGAGAATGAGAATCATTCCTTACTTTCAATTCCCAAGTAATGTCCCAAAGAATATCTAGCTTTCATCTTTTTTATTGCCTTATTAAGTTAAGGATAGGAATTTGTTTATATTTTTGACCATGCTCTTTCTAAGAACTCTAAATCTTATTCTTTTAGATGTGACATTATGGACTACCTATACTAAATTGTCTTATATGCAATTAAAAAGTAAGTTTTCATTCTAAATACTTGCTTTTGGCTATTAATATATAGGAAAATCATCGATTAGCTTGAGTAAAAGAAATTATATGACCAACTCCATCAAAAAATTGACACAGACCCCCAAGTAGTCAAAATTATCTTTCAGAAACTGAGTTTGCAAACTTGATCTCACAAACTGTCAAACTCAGGGATTATAAATTCCACTGAATTTGAAAAAATTCCAAGCTTATGGGTACTTCAAGGAAAAAAAATGCATGTTTTCCTGCTTTTTGCCAACTGAAGGAGGCAAAAGCAGCCAACAAAAATATGATTAGCACAATTTGCAGACTAACACTAACTTAGGGAGCTCTGGTGGCTAAGTTTGATTACTTAAGCTTCCTAACAAATTAATTTTACTTTTTTCTCTCTGAAGCCAGAATCACCTTAATATTGTTCTATTTATTTTTAATACTTACAAATACAAAACCAAAAACCAAATCCACTGCCATGAAGTCAATTCCAGCTCTTAGTGACCCTCACTGGGTTTCCAAGGCAGTAAATCTTTACAGAAGTAGATTGCCCTGTCTTCCTTCCGTGGAGTGGCTGGTGGATTTGAACCACCAACCTTCTGGTTAGCAGTCAAATGCCTTAGGTACTGCACCACCAGAGCTCCTTCAATACAAGGATCCATCTAAATCTTAGATTCTATGATTATATTAACATAACAGAGATTCATATCTGTGTCAAGCTTCTAAAATATTCTGTAGTGCCTGAAAGGAACATTTCTTTATTTAGATTTAATAACACATGGGCATTCTTTCCTGGTCCACCCATTTTCTCAGGCTGGAGCTAATAAAAATTTGTAAGATTCAGGAGTAATTTTTTTTTTTTTTTTTTTATAATTCATCAAAAGTTGTAAGTGTGCCTAAATTTTCCCAGACAACTTATGGTTGAGCTTTTCCTTTCTTTATCTCCTCTAAACCAGGTTTAGACTCATTGTTTCTACATCAACGTTATGTTGTTGTTATGTGCCATTGAGTCGGCCCCGACTCATAGTGACCCCTCCTTGGGTTGCTGAGGCAGTATCACTATGGAAGTAGATTGTCCAACCTTCCTTCTGAGGAGTGGCTGGTGGGTTTGAACCTCCAGCCTTGTGGTTAGCAGTCAAGTGCCTTAGGCACTATGCTACCAGAGTTCTTGTATCATTGTAGTAATATGTAGTAATATGTAAAATATTACAATACAGCCTATAAGCCTATAATTGGAGTCAAAACCCTTAGAAAGCAAGTTGATTTCACTAAATTTAAAAAAAAAAAAAACTGTGAAGTAGGAAAGATTTGAAAATTTAGCATTTCTCCAAAGGTCTTTCTTTATTGAACCATTTTAATCATCTTCATATAAATTTCACAATGTACCAAAAATATGCGCTGTTTTTCACAAGAGCAATTTGGTATTACATCTCTTTTGTGGACAATCAAATCTCCATGTGTTCAGCATGCTAATAATCACTAATACTTTACTAATAGCAACAAAAACAAAATTGAAAGAATGAGTTCTGTCCACATATAAACCATAAAACACTGAAATATTTTCTAATTAGTCTTCACCTGTAATTCTATTTTTTAATGAAGAATTTCCAGGTCTTATAAGTAAGAATCCAAAATTTCTAAACATGAAAAATATTCCATTTTCAAGAATAGGGATTTATGGCATAATAGTGATTGCCGTAAGTCATAGAATCATTTTACCTTTAGAAAGCAGATTTGTATACTTTCCCCACAATATTGTTTTTAACAATTCAGGGCTAAATGCATTTGCAATTTCATTTTTCATTACACTTTGAAATATGCAAATGTCACTTCTTCTAGTCTAGCGAGCTTAAATTCGCTACATGTGTTTACTAGCTCAGTGTGTTTATTTGCATGTGTTTTTCTTAGTTGCCATCATCATTAAGTCTTGCCAGAGCACTCCTTCTCTGCATGGGGCCTGTCTGCCTTTTTACTGGCTAGAATAACTTTGAATATTTCACACTAACTTTTTGCTTTTAGTCATCTCTGTGCAATCTAGGTCAGACAAGATAGTGAGCAATGATTATATCTGTCGCATGTTCAGCGGTCTCTCTATTATCTTTATAGATTGAGGTTAGGATGTGCAAGAGTGGTCAAATAAACATTTTGCAAAAATATTTAAAACATTTTCAGTATCTATTCCCAATGAAATGGTATCAGACCGATAGTTTCACATTCAACATAATATTCATAGTAGAAATTTAAGAAAATTAGCTATTATCATTATTATTTTGATTAATACTCAGATGTTACATGCTGCTGCATAAAACACAGTTCTATTAAATTTTACTGTCTCATAACATGGAAAGTTAAATTTTATTATAGGTGCCAGTGTGCAATAAAGAAGATTCATTCATATGAATCTTTACCAGCATATGATTATTTATTTTCCCATCCAACATGAATGGTGAGTAAAAATTCAACTTGCTGGGTAAAAGGGAAAACACATGAAGTTTATAAAACTTAAAATGGACACAGCTATGTTGTGTCCATTTATTTATTTAATAATTTAATATGAAATAAATAAAATCACAGGACAATAAATCTTGAAGAGATTATTACTTTCAATTCATTGTAAAGAATTTCCATGACATTATAATGGCATTCTATAAAAATGCAACAAGCATTATTAGATTATATAATATACTAATTTCTTTGCTTTATTGACAATCATGCTAAAAATATTTCCATCCACTGTCTCTCTAGCTTTTGCTCCTCTTGCTTGTCATTATCCAACTACACATTTTCAAAAAGATACAAAACTGACATATATTTTGAAATAAATAAACAAAGTTAGCAATTATATGATAATTTTTCTTTCTGTTCTCATACCTATGACAAGAATAATTTTTGGTCGAGGTCTAGTAGGATCAAAAACTTCATACTCCTCAATTAACTCCGCAGTCTCAGAGAGATCCGTGTCACTTTCTATGGAGAATTGATGGATTGGAGGGAGCCGATCATACCGCCGATAAGGAAAGTTTGAATTTTCAGGCATCACTGCAAAAGAGTAAGATAACTTGAAACAGAAAAAAAAAAGCATAAGAAATTATTTCTTGCACTTAAAAATTAGTAGAAGAAATTTAAAAACTAAATGAGTTTAATTTTTTTTTTCTTTAACTAGAAGAGGACTCGCTAGGGTTAGGTAGCTAACTTTTTCCTAAAGGGTCATAGAGTAAGTATTTTAGGCTTTGAAGGTCATCCATCTCTGTTGGTAGCATGGTCATCCATGGTAACATGAAAGCCATCCTAGACAATATATAAACACATGGGCATGCCTATATTCCAGAAAACTTTATTCACAAAAACAGGTCTGGGCCACACCTGGCCCTGGAACCCTGTGTCCAAAAGGGACATTTTCAAGTACTGTCTAGTCTTGCTCGGACAGGTTGTCAATGTTTATGCATCATTTATTTTATTTTTAAAACAAATACAGATGTGCACTCAATATAATCCAGGAACTGTAGTGTGGTAATCTACTGATAAGAAATGAAGGGCTTAAGTCAGAGTGACATTAGGTTAAATGGAAATGAATAGCTGGATGTTGAAGTCATGGTAAGAGTGGAGATATAACAAATGAAAGGCAGTGACAATTCAAAAGCAATTCCAAGTTTCAAGTCTAAAAGAATCAGGGACATATTGCATTTACTGCAGTATTTCTCTGCCCTTTCTTTTCTGCTCCAGAAATACACCCACTCCTCATTTATGAATGTAGTTAAGTTCCAAAGACAAGATCATTATGTGAAAATTGGCATTATACAAAAAGGGAAGATGACTACAGCATATCACAAAATGGAGGATGACTACATCATTACGTAACTGCCAAATTATATCATTATATACCCCAAACCACTGAGAATCATGGCCTAACAAAGTTGACATATAATGCTAACTATCACAGCCAGCATTAATCTAGGCTAGCACTTTGACATTCATTACTGCCAGATGTGCACTGTTAATGCACAAATAGTCAGATAGTAGATAGTTTACTATGGTTCATGAAGGCAAAATGTCATATAAATAAGAGAGTCAGTAAGTGAGGAGTAGGTGTAATGGGCTTCTCTCATTCCTGATTACCTCACAGACTCGTCCTCTACCTCAGAAACAACTGTTCCCTGTTCCCTCACAATCTCTTTCATCCTTCTCTGATTATTATCTATTCAGCTTTCTGTCTTCAGGTATTAGCATATATGTCACTTCCTCTGGGAAACTTTTCCTGAACTGCAGGCTTGACTGGATCCATCACCTTATGTATAAGTTCATAATATATGATATTTTCTACATACTCATTGTGCTTGTAAATGTATTTTTAATGCCTGACTTCACTGCTAGTCTGTAAGTTACATGAAGGCAGGTTCTAAGGAGGGTCTAGGTTTCTTCTTTTTGGTTGCTGCAGCCACAGTCTTAGAAGAGCGGTTAACACATGGTAGTAGTCAACAAGTGTTTATTACCCAGCTGACTTCGATTGTCTTCAGGAAAACAGGAAAAGTAGAAGGGAGTTTTGAAGTCAATATGGTATGTTTGGCTTTGAACAATGTTGAGTAAAATGAAAATGAAACCTCTTCCAGAGGAAGAAGAGCTCTATGGACATTTGGAGCTATGGGACTAGAACCCTTATTCTTAAATTATCATTTGTTCAATTATATGGCAGAAAAAAATAGATGCTTATCACACATTTGTAGTAAAGAACTTTAAAGAACTGTCAGGCCAATAATTTATCCTTGCTTTCATCATACTTTTAAGGAGCCCTGTTAGTACAGTGGTTACAGCATTTGACTGCTACCTGAAAGGTCAGTGATTGAACCCACCAGCTGCCCCATGGGAGAAAGCTGTGACAGTCTGCTTCTGTAAAGATTTTCAGCCTTAAAAACCTTATGGGGCAGTTCTATTCTGTCCTACAGGAAAACTAAGAGTCAGAATCAACTCAGCAATGGGTTTGCTTTTTGTTTTATCATATTTTTATGTATGAAAGTAATTTGCTTAGATGATAATGTTTTATTTCAGAGAATACTTTTTCATGATAACTTATGCATTAGCATAGCTATGTCAATATTTTTGGAAAAAAAATTGTAGGAGCCACTCCTTATTTCTGGAAATAATTATAATGTTTAAAATTGCTGGGCAGTTAGCAATTTTGTTGGATTCAATTACCTATTTCACAAATTGCAGCAAAAGTTACAAAATATAAATGAATAAAGCATTTCTCAAGATAGAATTTTATTGCTAAATGGCAAATGAGTTTAGAAACCACTTTTAATCTTTCAGCATAAGTTCCAGATAAGGGATAGTGTGAGACAACATTCTTATCACCACAGCACAAGGAAAGGTGTTATATTTGATGATTAATTAACAGATCTCTGGGTGGGAACTCTGGTAAACTATTAGGCGGTATACCAAAACCAAACCAATCTCATTGCCACTGAGTTGATTTTAACTCAAAGTGACCCAATTGGGTTTCCAAGGCTGTAAATCTTTACAGAAGCAGACTGTCTCCTCTTTCTTCAACAGAGCTGCTGGTGGGTTTGATTCATTGACCTTCTGGTTAGCAGCCAAATGCCTTAATCACTATCCCACCAGAGCTCCCTTAGTAGGTACAGACACCCTAAAATTGGAAAGCAATTTCAATTCAAATGAAAACTAAATCTCCACTTTCATTCTTTTTCTAGTTCATGCTGCACAATCAGGAGTTCCAAACTAGTCACCTGTGGACCCAATATAGCTTTATAGATATGTTTTGTTTGGTTTGGCATTTTTCAAAAATTTGAACTTGACTGCCTTTAGATGAACGTGTTCTCTAGTTCTGCTCTCTAGTCTGGCCATAGTTCCCACCATTTTTTTAATACATTTGTCCTGCCTGATTCCTATATACAATCAAGCCAAGGAACACTATAAAATAGAGGCATCAAGGTTTCATTTTATTGCTTAACAGTCACTTTGATACCCAGTCTGAGAGCAGCTTTTCAACTAATTGAATGTCATAAACTCTTAGATTTGCCTTCAAATGTGTGAAAATTTATTAAACTAAATACAGTAATACCTGAGGTTTGTGAGTGCTCTCATGCATGGAAAGCAATTCCTTATACTTATCCCACATAGGGCATGTATTTAACGTCGAGCCAGAGTCTAACACTGTGATGACACCCTGGGAAGTAAGTTAGCCATTTTGGGAAGGTGAATGAACTCTCTATGCCTACCAGAATATCACTTTGCTCACTGAAGCAGTAATTTACAACTTGCATGCTGCAGCAGTAACTGACTAAATGGTACTCTGATGACTCAAGAGAGTGCCTGCGGTTCTTAGAGGTGCGAGATCCAAGCTGTGTCTACACAGTTTGAACTGAAGGCCTAAACTTTAATTCTACACTTACTACTCTGTGTACCCTGAGCTGTTTCCAAAAAGGAAGAGTATCAATTTGGGATTTGAATCTGATATTGAAACAAAAACTGTACCTATGAGTAGACTGTATAGGAATAGTGAAAATCTCTTTAGTACTGTAATGGTTCTAGAGGTCAAATCCAAATGTTTGGTGCAAATTCAATTTTATAAGCATAAGAAGACATAACCTTAAACCTTAAGAGTTACCATAGAAGATAATGAGTTATATCAAGAGACAAAGTTTTACCCTTTTATCTATGTAAGATAGAGAGGGAGACCCTATGTAGTAATGAGATCAACTGTGGTCTAAGACTTAAAAAGATAACCTTATTACCTCATGGTCATAATGGATATTTTCTAATTGTTTCTCTGAGTTTTTTCATGTTACAACATTTGAGAATTTCTGAAATTAGTCCTAAGTGTCTCTAAGTTGATTCTCAGCAGCATTTGGGAATTTGGTGCTGGTGGTGAGAAGGCCATATCAATATCTGGCAAAACATTTGAGCATCACAACCTAAATCACCTAACATGGACCCTGCATAAACAGGCAAGGACTCTCCTCCTCTATGAAAATGTTTAGGGAAATATCATTTCTGCTTGTATTGCTTCAAAATTAACATATTACGACTTTTTTCCACAACAAAATAATAAATTGTGAGCTTTATTATTTTATTAAAATAAAATGTGATTCATGACCAGATAAGATAAAACTGAAACTAAGATTTGTTTCCAACTTATATTTTTTGTAAGGAGCTCTGGTGGTGCAGTGGTTAAAGCATTCAGCTACTAATCAAAAAGTTCAGTAGTTGGAACCTACCAGCCTCTCTGCAGAAGAAAACATGAGGCAGTCCGCTTCTATAAAGATTTACAGCTCTGGAAACCCTACTGGGCCTACATAGGGTCACTATGGGTCAGAATTGACTCCATAGCAGTAGGTTTTTAAAAAATATTTATTGTAAATAGGATTGTCTTCACTTCAAATTTTGTCAGTATAGCTGGGACTTTTCATGGTACAATTTTTGTGTGTGTGTGTGTGATTTGGGTGAAGATTTACAGAGCAAATTCACTTTCCATACAGCAGTTCACATATACTTTGTCTCATGTCATTGACCACAGTTTACCACAATGCA